AGCAGGGAAGGGTTTGATCTGGCTCTTTGTAAAGGCAGAGAAAGCAGGAAGCGTCTGATCTGTGGTTCTTCTAAAGGCAGAGGATAGCAGGAAGGGTTTGATCTGGCTCTTGTAAAAGGCAGAGCATAGCAGAAGTGTCTGATCTGCCCTTGTAAGGGGCAAAGATTATCAGAAAGGGTCTGATCTGGCTTTTGTAAAGGGCATAGCTAGAAGTGTCTGAGCAGATTATCAGAAAGGGTCTGATCTGGCTCTTCTAAAGGCAGAGGAAAGCAGAGGAAAAGGAAGGTTTGATCTGGCTCTTGTAAAGGCAGAGGAAAGCAGGAAGGGTTTGATCTGGCTCTTAAAGGCAAGGGATAGCATGGTTTGAGGATAGCAGGAAGAGGTTTGATCTGGCTCTGTAAAAGGCAGAGGAAAGCAGGAAGCGTCTGATCTGGTTCTTCTAAAAAGGCAGAAGTGTCTGATAGCAGGAAGAAAGGGTTTGATCTGGCTGTTGTAGGCAAAAGGCAGTAAAGGGCAGAGGAAAAAGCAGGAAGCGTCTGATCTGGTTCTTCTAAAGGCAGAGGATAGCAGGAAGCGTTTGATCTGGCTTTTTGTAAAGGCAGAGCATAGCTAGAAGTGTCTGATCTGGCCCTTGCAGAGGATAAAGTCAGCTAGAAGTGTTATCTTGTAAAGCCAAAGGGTCTGATCTGGCTCTTGTGATAAAAGGCAGAGGAGAGGAAAGCAGGAAGCGGAAGATCTGGATTTTTCAAAGGCAGAGGATTGCAAAGGCAGAGGAAAGGCAGGGAAGGAAGGGTTTGATCTGGCTCTTGTAAAAGCAGCAGAGCGTTCGATCTGGAAAGCAGAGGATAAGGAAGGGTTTGATCTGGCTCTTGTAAAAAAAACAGATCTGGCCTTGTAAAGCAGGAAGCGGTCTGATCTGGTTCTTCTAAAGATAGCAGAGGATCAAAGGCAGGAAGGGTTTGATCTGGCTCTTGTAAAGGCAGAGGATAGCAGGAAGGGTCTGATCTGGCCTTTGTAAAGGTCAAAGATTATCTTGTAAAGAAAGGGTCTGAGGAAGAAGTGTCTGATCTGGCTCTTTTCTAAAGGCAGAGGATAGCAGGAAGGTTTGATCTGGCTCTTTAAAGGCAGAAAGGCAGATCTGGAAAGCAGAAGGGTTTGATCTGGCTCTTGTAAAGGCAGAGGCTAGAAGTGTCTGATTCCGGCCTTTGTAAAGGAAGAAAGGGTTGATCTGGCCTTTAAAGGCAGAGGATAGCAGGAAGGGTTTGATCTGGCTTTTCTAAAGGCAGAGCAGTTGATCTGGCTCTTTGTAAAGGCAGAGGAAAGCAGTGAAGGGTTTGATCTGGTTCTTCTAAAGGCAGAGGATAGCAGGAAGGGTTTGATCTGGCTCTGTAAAGGCAGAGAAAGCAGGGAAGCGTCTGATCTGGTTCTTTCTAAAGGCAGAGGATAGCAGGAAGGGTTTGATCTGGCTCTTGTAAAGGCAGAGGAAAGCCAGAAGTGTGTCTGATCTGGCCCTTCTAAAGGCAAAGGATATCAGGAAGGGTCTGATCTGCTCTTGTAAAGGCAGAGGATAGCAGAAGGGTCTGATCTGGCCTTTTGTAAAGTCAAAGAATTATCAGAAAGGGTCTGATCTGGCTCAGGGTCTGAGGTAAAGCAAAGAATCAGTTTGGTCGTTGGCTCTTGTAAAGGCAGAGGATAGCAGGAAGTGTTTGATCTGGCTCTTGTAAAGGCAGAGAATAGCAGGGGCTCATGTAATGGCAGAGTGTAGCAGGAACTGAACTGGCTCTTGTAAAGGAAGAGTATAGCAGGAAGGGTCTGATCTGGCTCTTGTAATGGCAGATGATAGCAGGAAGCGTCTGATCTGGTTCTTCTAAAGGCAGAGGATAGCAGGAAGGTGCTTGATCTGGTTTTTGTAAAGGCAGAGCATAGCTAGAAGTGTCTGATCTGGCCCTTGTAAAGTCAAAGATCTGTGAAAGGGTCTGATCTGGTCTTTAAAGGCAGAGGACATAGCAGAAGGGTCTGATCTGGCTCTTGTAAAGGCAGAGGAAAGCAGGAAGGGTTTGATCTGGCTCTTTGTAAAAGGAAAACAGGAAGGGTTTGATCTGGATAAAGGCAGAGGAGAGCAGGAAGCGTCTGATCTGGTTCTTGTAAAAGGCAGAGGATAGTAGAAAGGGCTTGATCTGGCTATGTAAAGTCAAAGCATTATCAAAGTGTCTGATCTGGCCCTTGTAAAGGCAAGATTACTCCAGAAAGGGTCTGATTTGGCTCTTCTAAAGGCAGAGGATAGCAGGAAGGGTTTGATCTGGCTCTTCAAAAGGCAGAGGAAAGCAGGAAGGGTTTGATCTGGCCTTATAAAGGCAGAGGACTCCAGGAAGGGTTTGATCTGGCTCTTGTAAAGGCAGAGGATAGCAGGGAAGGGGTTTGATCTGGCTCTTATAAAGGCAGAGGAAAAAGGAAGACTGATCTGGTTCTTGTAAAGGCAGAGGATACTCCAGGAAGGGTTTGATCAGCTCTTGTAAAGGCAGAGGAAAGTAGGAAGCGTCTGATCTGGTTCTTCTAAAGGCAGAGGATAGCAGGAAGGGTTTGATCTGGCTCTTGTAAAGGCAGAGCATAGCTAGAAGTGTCTGATCTGGCCCTTGTAAAGTCAAAGATTATCAGAAAGGGTCTGATCTGGCTCTTGTAAAGGCAGAGGATAGCAGGAAGGGTCTGATCTGGCTCTTGTAAAGTCAAAGAATATCAGAAAGGGTCTGATCTGGCTCTTGTAAAGGCAGAGGATCGCAGGAAGCGTTTGGTCTGGCTCTTATAAAGGCAGAGGATAGCAGGAAGTGTCTGATCTGGCTCATGTAATGGCAGAGAATAGCAGGAAGTGTCTGAACTGGCTCTTGTAAAGGAAGAGTATAGCAGGAAGGGTCTGATCTGGCTCTTGTAATGGCAGATGATAGCAGGAAGCGTCTGATCTGGCTCTTGTAAAGGAAGAGTATAGCAGGAAGTGTCTGAACTGGCTCTTGTAATGGCAGAGGATAGCAGGAAGGGTCTGATCTGGCTCTTGTAAAGGCAGATGATAGCAGGAAGCGTCTGATCTGGCTCTTGTAAAGGCAGGGGATAGCAGGACAGGTCAAGAACTTCTTAAAGCCTTACTGGGAGATTACTATTTTATCTGCATCCTTAACAATGGTTTGTTTTGTCGTTTTTACATTTTGCGCTTTTTTTTTATTTTTTGTATAATTTTTATTGCATTTTTATTTTGTATTTTTTTTTGCTATATGCTGTTTTTCCATTCTGTCGTATTTTTTATTATTGTCTCACAATACATTTTTATTGTATTTTTTTCCAACAATTTTATTTTTTTTTGATTTTTAAAATATTTCATTACGTTTTGCATTTTCATATTATTTAATTTGTTTTGCTGCATTTTTGCTGTTTTTGCTGAAATTTAATTGTGTTTTTTTTTATATTCTGGTACATTTATTTTGTATTTCAGTTGTATGAGGTTCAGGCCACCCCAAGGAACTGATAGCTAGACACTCTCTTGATTACAATGGTGAAGGCTTTGTGAAGAACCAACCACACTTTTTGAAAAGCCGAATACAGAGACATCGTGCACAATGTGAATTCCTTGTCCTAGACCAGTTTTCATTCAAGTCTATAGAACCCAGTCTGTCCTACTATTTACCCTTATCTTGGGGGAAAAAGAAAAGGATTCATTCCTTTCCCAAGGGTAATAGCACGTTATGGATTCGACTGGAATTCGAACTCGGCTCTCCGATTCCTCAAACAAAGACGCTATCCATTACTCCACCGTGCCGGGTTCGAATCTCACTATTGTCGATTTGTCAGGAAAGAAACCCTGATGTTATTGGACTGGAGGTGTAGATCCCAGCTGTGGGACCTGAAAATCACATCACGGGTTGACGGAAGCCTTGTGAGTGAAATTGGGTAGACGGAACCAATGCTAGCACGTAGTTACAAGTCATCGTGGCTGAGGGCTTGAGAGTGATGGCCTTGTTCAAAATTGTTGATCACGCTAGATAACACGCTTTTTCCCAGAAACTGCAACTGAGGTCTGCTCAGCACAGATGCAGTATAAGATGGGATCTGTGTGTGTTGAATAAATATAAAAGTGCCTGAGCAAGGGTCCGCAATAGGGATTGGATAGCCGCCCTAGTAGACGGGTATCCTCGAATACGAGTGGATAGATATATACCTATATTTCGGTTGCATTGTTATAATTTTTATAATTTTGTATTGCTTTTCTTGCAATTTTCTTGCTTTTGTTCGTGATTCCTTACTATTTCCGTTGTTTTTTGTTTTTTTTTTGTAATTGTTGATTTTTGTTATTTATAGTTTTTGTTGCATTTTTATTGTATTTCTCTAGTCATTTATCGCTGCACACAAGTCGTTGCCATGCACCATGAACTGAAAATAATATAAGAACTGATGAAAATTAAACTTGCATCTCTTGTACTTGTTAAAGTCTTTATCTATTAGGCTACGAAAGTTGGCAATCAAATGTCATACAAATTTAATTACGCAGCTACATTCTTCATTATGCGAAGTGTTGATTGTGTATGTTTAGTAGATGTAGATGTATTAGTCTTGTGTTTTTGAAGGTATAGAGTGTCAATGAGATTGCTTTTGTTGCGCAGTAGAAGAAATAGAGACAAGAATGTGAGGAACAGAAAGGTGTGAAAGGAAAGATTGATTGGATTCATTTTATGGCGGTTAGGAATAAGAGAGATGGAATGAAAAGTCAAAGAAAAATATAATAAAAAAAGAAGCAAAAGAAGAAAGAATAAAGAAAAAGAAACGGGAAAGAAAGAAAGAAAGAACAAAGAAATAAGAAAAAAAAACATAAAGAAAGAAACAAATCAAAACAAACAAAAAAGAAAAAAAAGACTAAATAAAACAAAACAAAAAGAAGGACTAATTAACGAAACGAAATGAAAAAAGAAAGAATAAAGATAGGAAAATGAAGAGAAGATACTAAGACATCGTATGAGCACCAAAGAAGATAAAGAAAAGAAAGAAAAAAGAAACAAAGAAAGAGTGTAAGAAAGAAAGAAAAAAGAAAGAAAGAAAAAAAATGAGAGGAACAGAAAAAATCATGAAAATAAGAAAGGAAGGAAGGAAGGAAGAAAGAAAGAAAGAAAGAGAAAAAGAAAGAAGAAGAGCAAAAAGAAGAAACTAAGAAAGAATGAAAAAAAAGAAAGAAAGAGAGAAATTAGAAACAGAAAAGAAGGAAGTGAGAAAGAAAGAAAAATGGAAGAAAGAGAGAAACAGAAGCAAAAAAAGAAGAAAGAAAGAAAGAAAGAAAGAAAAAAGGAAGAAGCAAGCAAAAAAAAGAAGAAAAAAAAAAGAGAGAAACAAAACAAAATAGAAGGAAAAAAAAAAAATAAAAAAAAAAAAAGAAATAAAAAGAAAGAAATAGAGAAACAGAAAAAAAAGAAAGAGAAACAAAAAGAAGAGCGAATAAGGAAAGAAAGAAAGAATGAGGGAATGAAAGAATAAAGCAGAATATGAAAACCAAAGAAAAAAGAAACAGGAAAAAAATGAAAAAATGGAACTAGCTGCAAAAAAGAGAATGTAAAAAAGAAAGATAGAAGAACTAACAAGGCATGAAGGAAAGAAAGAAAGAAAGAAAGAAAAGAAAAGAAAGAAAAAGGAAAAACAGTAAAAGAAAGGAAAAAATAAAGAAGGAAGAGAAGAACAGAAAGAAAAGAAAAAGAAAAAAGAAATAGAAGAAAAGAATAAGGGTGTGAAGAAAAGAAAGAAAGAAAAAAAGAGAGATAAAGAAGAAAGAAAAAAATGAAAAAAGAAGGAAGAAAAAGAAAAGAAGAAAAAAAAGAAATAAGGAAAAAGAAGGAAGGGAAAAGAAAAAGTAACGAAGAAAAGAAAAAAGAAAGGAAGAAAAAAGAAATAAGTAAAAAAAAAGAAAAAAAAAGAAGGAAGAAATGGGAAAGGAAAGAACAAGGGGGAGGAAGGGAAATGGAAGAAGAATGAATGAAAAGAGAGGATAAGGAAAAAAGAAGGAAGGGAAGAAAGAGAAGAATGAACGAAAAGAAGAAGAAGAAAGAAAGAAAAAATGAAAAAAAAAAGAGAAGAAAAAAGAAAAAGGAAAAAAGAAGGAAGGAAAAAGGAAGAAAGAAGAAAAAAAAAAGAAAAAGAAAGAAAGAAAGAAAGAAAAAAAAAGAAAGAAGAAAGAAAAAGAAGTAAGAAAGAAAAATGAAAAAAAAAAGAAAAAAAAGAAAGAAAGAAAGAAATAAGGAAAGCAAGGAAGGGAAAGGAAGAAGAATGAAAGAAAGAGAAGAAAAGAAAAGAAAAGAAAAAAGAAAGAAAGAAAGAAAGAAAGAAAGAAAAGAAAGAAAAGAAAAAAAAAAAAAGGAAGAAAAGAAAGAAAAGGAAAAAGGAAAAAAGGGGGAAAGGAAAAAGAAGAATGAACGAAAAAGAGAAGAAAAGAAAGAAAGAAAGAAAGAAAGAAAGAAGAAAAAAGAAGTAAGAAAGAAAAATGAAAAAAGAAGGAAGAAAAAAGAAAGAAGAAAGAAAGGGAAAAGAAGGAAAAAAGGAAGAAGAAGGAACAAAAAAGAGAGAGACGAAGAGAGAGAAAGAAGAAAGAAAGAAAAAGAAGCAAAGAAAAATGAAAAAGGAAGGAAGAAAAAAGAAATAAAGAAGAAAGAAATAAGAAAAAAAAGAAGGGGAAAAGAAAAAAAGAAGAAAAGAGAGAAGAAAGAAAGAAAAAAGAATGAAAGAAAACAAAGAAGGAAAAAGAAGGAAAAAAGAAAGAAGAAAGAAGAAAGAAGAAAAAAGAAGAAAAAAAGAAGAAGAAAAAGGAAGGAGAAATAAGGAAAGAAGAAAAAAGAAATAAAAGAAGAAAGAAATGAAAGGAAAAAGGAAGGAAGGGAAAGGAAGAAGAACGAAAAGAATAGAAAGAAAAAGAAAGAAAGAAAAAAAGAAAGAAAGAAAAAAAGAAGGAAAAAAAGAAAGAAGAAAAAAGAAAAAAAAAGAAAGAAAAAAAAGAAAGAAGAAAGAAAGAAAGAAGAAAGAAAAAAGAAAAAAAAGAAAAAGAAGGAAGGGAAAGGAAGAAGAATGAACGAAAAGAGAGAAGAAAGAAAGAAAGAAAGAAAGAAAGAAAGAAAGAAAAAGAAAGAAAAAAAGAAAAAAGAAAGAAAAAGGAAGAAAAAAGAAAGAAAGAAGAAAAATAAAAAAAAAAGAAGGATGGGGAAAGGAAGAAGAATGAACGAAAAGAGAGAAGAAAGAAAGAAAGAAAGAAAGAAAGAAAGAAAGAAAGAAAGAAGAAAAAAGAAATAAGAAAGAAAAATGAAAAAAGAAGGAAGAAAAAAGAAAGAAGAAAGAAATAAGGAAAAAAGAAGGAAGGGGAAAGGAAGAAGAATGAACGAAAAGAGAGAAGAAAGAAAGAAAGAAAGAAAGAAAGAAAGAAAGAAAGAAATAAAAAAAGAAGAAAAAGAAGGAAAGAAAGAAAAAAAGAAAGAAAAAAGAAAGAAAGAAAGGAAGGAAGGAAGGAAAGAAAGAAAGGAAAGGGAAAGAATGAATGAAAAAGAAAAAGAAAGAAAGAAAGAAAGAAAGAAAGAAAGAAAGAAAGAAAGAAGAAAAAAGAAGTAAGAAAGAAAAATGAAAAAAGAAGGAAGAAAAAAGAAAGAAAGAAGAAAGAAATAAGGAAAAAAAGAAGGAAGGGGAAAGGAAGAAGAATGAACGAAAAGAGAGAAGAAAGAAAGAAAGAAAGAAAGAAAGAAAGAAAGAAAGAAAGAGAGAAAGAAAGAAGAAAAAAGAAGTAAGAAAGAAAAATGAAAAAAGAAAGAAAGAAGAAAAAAGAAATAAGGAAAAAAGAAGGAAGGAAAAAGAAGGAAGGAAAGAAAGAAGAATGAAAGAAAAGAGAAGAAAGAAAGAAAGAAAGAAAGAAAGAAAGAAAGAAAAAGAAAGAAAGAAAGAAGAAAGAAGGAAAGAAAAAGAAAAAAGAAAAAGAAAGAAAGAAAGAAAAGAAAGAAAAAGAAATGAAAAATGAAAGAAAAGAAAGAAAAGAAAGAAAGAAAAAGAAAGAAAGAAAGAAAGAAAAAGAAAGAAAAGAGAGAGAGGAAAAAGAATGAAAAAGAAAAGAAAGGAAAAGAAAAATGAAAAAAAAGAAAAGAAAGAAAAAAGAAATAAGGAAAAAAAGAAGGATGGGGAAAGGAAGAAGAATGAACGAAAAGAGAGAAGAAAGAAAGAAAGAAAGAAAGAAAGAAAGAAAGAAAGAAAGAAAGAAAAAAAAAGAAATAAGAAAGAAAAAGGAAAAAAGAAAACAAAAAAAAGAAGAAAAGAAATAAGGAAAAAGAAGAAGGAAAGAAAGAAGAATGAAAGAAAAAAGAGAAGAAAGAAAGAAAGAAAGAAAGAAAGAAAGAAAGAAAAGAAAGAAAAGAAAGAAAAGAAAGAAAAATGAAAAAAAGAAGGAAGAAGAAAAAGAAAAGAAAGAAGAAAGAAAGAAAGAAAAAAAGAAAGAAGGAAAGAAAAGAGAAAGAATGAAAATGAAAAAGAGAAGAAGAAAGAAAGAAGAAAGAAAGAAAGAAAGAAAGAAAGAGAGAAAAAAAAAATGAAAAAAGAAGGAAAAAGAAAAAAAGAAGGAAGAAAGAAGAGAAAGAAAGAAAAGAAAAGAAAGAAGAAGAATAAGGAATGAAAGAATAAAGAAGAAAAAAAAGGAAGAAAGTGTTTTAGTGTTTATCTATCTCATCTGTTTATCAGCCTCTTTTTTCTTCACTCATCTCTCTCTCTCTCTTCTCTTTCTCTCTCTTTCTCTCTCTATATCTATATATATATATATTAGTTTGTTTATATCTATATCTGCTGGTTCATATCTATCTATCTATTTATCTATCTATCTATCTCCCCAGCCCTCTCTCTTTCTCTCTCTCTCTCTCTCTCTCTCTCTCTCTATATATATATATATATATATATATATATATATATATATTTGTTTATATCTATCTATCTATCTATCTATCTATCTATCTATCTTAGTTAATTCAAATCTATCTATCTATCTATCTATCTATCTATCTATCTATCTATCTATCTATCAGTGTTTATGGTAAGTTCATTAATTTTAGTTTAGGTGTTGTTATTTATAGATTCAATGAAACCATCAAAAAACTATTAAAAAATGAATGCAAATCTTGGTCTCGATTAATAGATAACCACCCCACTATGCCTACACTATATGGCTTACCCAGGACACACAAATCTGACATGCCCATTAGGCCCGGAATTAACTGTGCACCCCACAAATTAGCTAGAGGCATCGCTAAAATCCTAACTCAATCCTTAGGCCCCATCAATACAACACACATCAAACATCCGGATGACTTACTCCAAAGATGACAACACATACGCATGACGAACGTGTCTATGGCTAGTCTAGACATCAAATCACTATACCCCAACTACCACGAAATGCCTTAATATACAAAGAAAGCACCTCAATAAATTCAAGGCTAAGCTTCCTCTACACGTCCTCAAAATCATATATATGTAAATTAACCACTAACTACTGTTTCTTTTCTTGCAATATCATATTCGACAAACAAATTTATGGTTTATCAATGGGGTCACCTCTCAGTAATGTTCTCGCTTACCTCTTTCTTGAATTCTCAGAACCAGCTCCATTTAAATATATCATTCCCAACAGCTCTACTTACCTAATATATAAAGGTTGAACCAATCGTCGAATTCATAGACGAATTTGAAACAAATAAAGCTCTACCATTTCTCGATATCCTATTAATACGTAACGATAGTAAATTAGATTTGAATGTTTACCGAAAACAACTCTTACAATGACCTAATCAATTTCTATTCCAACCACAACCGGAGAATAAAATCTGAAATGATCATAGGTTTTTTAATTTAGAGCCCTTAGGATATTTAACTCCGAATACATTAGTGAAGAAGAGAATTACATTGAGAATAAATTCAAACTTCTACACTACTCATACGATTTCATTTTAAAAGCAAAATACAAACTCATAAAAACCATAAAAAAGCAAAAAATGTGTAAAATTCATGGTTCTACCCTTCAGCACTTCAACTGAACCTGCGGATATTTTGGCCATCCCTGACACGAGGATTGTTGCCACCACCTCCAAGATTATCGGAAAGTAATCAGAATGAAAGATGCAACAAAAAAACAATTTTTATTGGATAAAATGTCCACAGTGCAATAGTACGTATATTGGGGAGACATCGGTTGATCTAAAAACCGGCATCCAGGAACACAAAAGAGACTTGTGATTAGACAAACATTCAAACTCGCCCGTCTTGCACCGCAACGACATAGGGCATAACTTTAATTTTACTAATGCGAGCATCATTAAAAATAGAACAGAACCCTTTAAAGAGAAAATATTATGGAAACATATTCATAGGAATATTACCAACTATTAACACACGTTTCAAAAACTACATTACTTCACCATTTTTCTACAGATCCATTAATCATGACTCTAAATTGTCTTTTTAATACATAAAAATCAATGAAGATATATACAAAATACGCACAAGGTATGCATTAATGAAATATCTAACCAAAACATTTTTTCAAAACATCCTGCAGCGCCTCACTAACGACTATAAACTTTAGCGTCCAATATTTTTCTCAGACTGTTATTTTATTACACGTGACATGTATCTAACCAATAAGAAATAACCAATCGAAAAACCTATTTACCGTTACACACTTTAGCGTCGACAATGTTTGCCAGAAGTATTTAAATATTATCGTTTACTTCATTACACGTGACACGTATCTAACCAATCGGAAATAGCCAAACACTACATTCCATTAATTTGCGTCTATTTGCTTTTTATCATTTTTTTATAATTTCTCTCTCATGTTAGATTGATCTGTTTACTACTAGTTCTTTATGCCTATATATATATATATATATATATATATATATATATATATATATATATATATATATACAAATTATATAATTGGTGTATACGGAATGAATTCCAATAACCAACAATTACTATTCTTAAAAGAGTGCTCAATACGGAGTAGAGCAAATATAATTTATTTGAAAATTATAACATAAATATGTTATAAAATCACTACAAAAATAGGCATTTCGTTTCAACACTTCTCGTGTCTTATCAAGTGATGGTGTTGAATGTAGAATAAATGTGTATATATATCTAAATATGTCTGGGTGCTTATGTATTATAATCTTATTGTGTTTGTGTTGTTTTATGCGTGAGTTTAGAACCCCATTCACACACTTGGGATTAAAATGTATACATATATTGTCGGATGACCGGATGACGTAGCGTCTGTTCTAACGTAATTTCAATGAAAAAATAAATTGAATAACATATGTATTTCTTCTTTTCTCGTCAGTAATTTTATAATTTTAAAACTTAATAGTGATTAAATTTGGATTTTAAAATTGGCAGCTTTTAATTTTAATATCAAATTTTATCATATAATTTAATAATTATTGGTTAGAATAAATTAAATATTACCCGTATTTTAAAGATCTGAATAGCTATTATAAAATGATTTCGTTGTCAAGCTTTTTGAATTTTCCTATACTTGTATTTTGATTGTTCATTCTAGCTTTTGTAACAACGTTTTCCCCTTGTGAAGGATCGTTAATTAATTTGAAACTTTTACAACCATTTATTTTACATTCAGCATCATCACTTGATAAGACACCGAGGGTGTTGAAACAAAATGGCTATTTTTGTAGTGATTTTATAACATATTTATGTTATCAATTTTTTTAAATAAATAATTATATATATATATATATATATATATATATATATATATATATGATTTACCCCAAGAAAGGTAGTAAACCTTTTAAAACACAAGGGGTTACTGGGCGTGGAAGAATTAAAAAGCAAAAACATTACTCAAAAGCGAGAACAATAGAGGGAGTAATAAGGAAGATAGTAGATAGCGATTGACATTGTATTTAAATTTTTGAAGATCAATGTTAACTGGAAAGCACAGAATCAAAAGAGAATTCCACAAACAAGAAGTGCGAGAAAAGAAACTGTTAACATAGAGCTTACGGTTATATCTTAACCAATTCAACTGCGAATTGATGACAGAAGTAGTTTCTTAGGAAAGGAAATATGTGGTAGGATCCTGGATGTAAGTTTATGATAAACTATTCTGAAATCAGTACACATTTACCCACTAGTCTTATACATAGGTTTGTATATTTTTCTTATAGAAGGAATCTTATATATGTAGGGGGTGGGGAAAGAATAAATGCTAGTTATAATTTTACATCAAGAAACACTGAAGACATGGGGAGGCTAAGCTTTAAATTTTTTAAGTTTTCATCATCCAATGTATCCAGATGCCTACAAGCTATCAACTACATTCTACTTTCTATCACTTTTGTTTTTAAATATCCCTATATATATATATATATATATATATATATATATATATATAAAATCTGATTTACCGCAAGAGAGGTAGAAAAGCTTCTAAAACACAAGAGGTTACTGGGTGTGGAAGAATTAAAACGCAAAAACATTACTCAGAAGCGAGAGCAATAGAGGAGTAATAAGGAAGACAGTAAATAGCGATTGACATTGCCTTCAAATTTTTTGAAGATCAATGTTGGCTGTTGATTGTTCTAGTTCCACGTGACATGCCTCCTCTGGATGTCTCAGTTATCTTAACTATTTTAATTCAACTCTCCAACTGGTCCAACAAGGATGGCCCAATGGATAAAGGCGTTGTTTGGATCCAGTGACTTGACCCAAAGATTTGTGAGTTCAATACCTGGCTACTGCAGTTTGGAACAAGAAATTGGAGAGTTGGCTTAAAGTTAAATAACTGAGATATCTGGAAGAGGCATGACACGTGGAACTAAAACAATGTACCCCGAGGGAGGAAATAAAGGGTTCAGTTTGAGATTACAATCACCTGAACAAGGCCGGAGCGTACAACGGCCGAAATGTCGTGAGTATAGCAACAAAGATGAGGACAACAGTCCGAACAATGTAAATAGGGTAAATAATTACAATACCTCATCTCAGAAATCGGAGCGTACAACGGCCGAAACGTCGTAAAATATAGCAACAAAGATGGGGACAACAGTCCGAATAATGTAAATAGGGTAAATAATTACAATACCTCATCTCAGAAATATAGACGTATTTTGAAGAAGGCCGGAGCGTACAACGACCGAAAAGTCGTGAATATGGCAACAAAGATGGGGACAACAGTCCGAACAATGAAAATAATGTAAATAGCTACAATACCTCATCTCAGAAATATAGACATATCCTGACAGATGGAGACTGGTCAGTTTTTATCCTTGCTAACACATACAAATGTAAGCTCCCATATTAAACTGACCACCTGTCACAACACCAATTAATTGATTTGTTTATAACGGTTTATCGACCCTTTGTAGTTTAGGCAAATAAACAACAATACGTCATCTCAGAAATAGAGACAGATAATTTAATTTCGTTTGCTTGCGACATGTCGTTACACAGATGTTCACATTTTAAATGATGACAGTTTTTGTGACGGGTGGAGCCACCCTATATTTTGGCACCTAGAATTTTAGGCTGGTTTCAATTGGTTTTCGAATTCGGTAATCTTTTAGAAATAGCTTCTATCTTCTTGTAATCTATACTTTTAGTGTTCTGTCTGTGTGTCTCTATCTCTGTCGCTGTCTCGCTTTC